TCTACCTTTCAGGAAGAATCAAAGGAATCTTCTGGCATCAGCCATAAATTGATTGGAAACACAGAGTCACATCTGAAGTATGAAAATGACCGTCTGAAGATGGCTTTAGCTCAGAGGTAGGGGAAATGAAAGATAGAAAACCTCAACTTAACTCTTATGGAACATGGCCATGATCTTTTCAGTTGCATGATCTTACACAGTTTGTTTGTGATTTGCTTTATGCTCATTATGTCATTGGTTTAACTGAGGTGAGATAAAGTCAAAATAACCATCTGCATTTTCGACTAAGTAGTTTGAAAGAAAACACAACAAATAAATAAGCTGATGCAGATTCAGGTCATAACCTACCAAACTGTTAGGGCTAATTTAGATGGTTCAACTTTGTGGTACCCAATTTCTATCAGCTTGTGTTTCCATCATCTAAAAATTGCATTAGTTATGACTTTCATGATGTAACATAGTCTGGGGCTATGATTGTTGTAGAAACATTTGTCAAAATGTAACAGTTATGGGGATACATGTATTGTAGGGCAGCTTGATTTACTTATTAATAAGACAATAAGTAGATTTGTTGGAAGCTTGTTGCATGCGTTAAAATGTTACAGACCAAATCATCAGTGAGTGCAACCTGACATCGTTGATTTGCTAAGAATACGCTTCAATGCCGGATCCAGGGGGAAGTAGCAATACTTAGGCTGGCTTAACTCTGGCAGGGTGGGCCATTTTTCCTGAGTGCAGACTTTACCTTAACTGAAAAAGGACTTGATATTGCAGTTCTGCGAATGCTAAAAAATGGGAGACAGAGCTTCAAACACTGAAGAATAACAATGCAAGGTTAACAGCAGCCCTGCAAGAAAGCACAACAAATGTTGAGGAATGGAAGAAGCAGTTAAATGCCTACAAAGAAGAAAATATCAAACTCAGGAAAAAGGTGATCACAGTAGACCAGCCATGTTATTTAAGTTCCAGGGTTCTGTCATGGGTAGTCTTCTTAGAAAACCACTGACAGCTTTCTAAATCAATCATAACTGAAAATGATTGTCTGACAAGTTCTTTCACTTTGCTCTTAACGAATCTCCTTGTTAAGCAATGTTTGTCATTTAGCAAGTGATGTTATGATGGTGGAATCAACCATTTACTGATTTTGTTTTCTTTTTGCTTAGGTCCAAGAGCTAGAATCGTCAGACCAAGTTAGTGAGAGATTTAATGTCGTTCAGCAAGAAAAACTTACCCTTGATGGCCGAGTGATTCAACTGGAGAGCATGATCAGACAAAAAGATGAGGTCAGTGTGTCATCCTTGAGGGGGAGGGGAGGGGAATGGAAGGGGATGGGTGGGAAGGGTTAGGGAAAGGAGTCCTACCAGTAATGTTGAGGAACTAGTTTGCTTGAATTCAAGCATCCTGTTTGTCAAGATGACTTTAATTTCTATCAGTAGACATCTGTTCTTGACAGGTTATTAAAATCAATCAAAGAAAAAGTAGATCTAATTGTGCCCTATTCAAAGAAAATTTGGTAGTGCAATCATCATTTAAGGTTGCATTTCTCTATGCATTCTGCCTATCTGTCAACTCACTTGTGAGTCTGTTTGTTTGTTTATTTGTTTGCTCATCATAATTAGTAATGTTTGCCGAAGTTTTGTCTTTTGGCCATTCATATTTTCAATTTTATCTCTAACAGTATTTCTTCTCCTCATACATGTACACACCAATATATGATAACATGGAATTATTTATAATAACTGTTTCTGTATTTTGCAGGACATGGGAAATTTGATACAATCAAATGCTGAACTCACCAATCAAAACCAGGTAGCTTAAGACTGAGTTATTGCAACCCCTAAGGAATGAGTGTTTTCGACTGCAAATGCAAATCCAGAGCTTTGAATTTAAGTCTTGAGAAATACATAAAACAAAGAATTAAGATAGATATGTTTAAGTAGAAAAGTGAAAATAGTCTTTGGGATGAGAGAAAAGCTAAGTACCCAGAGAAAAACCTTTTATGAATAAGAACCAAGAGCAACTGAAATCATCTATGACTGGAGCCCAACCTTAATTGAAGCCTTAGTATATTGATGAGTGCTGAGCACTTATGGGCTGAAGACTGGATGATCTCTGCTGATACAGTGAAACCTCTGTTAAGCAGACCCCATATTAAGTGGACACCCTCTATTAAGAGGACACCAGCTTGAGTCTCAAAATTTTCCTCCTACATTTACTGTGAAATAAACCTGCGTTCAGCAGACACCTCTGTTAAAAGGATGTGGACACCATTATTATGCCATTTTGTTGCACAAAACCAGCAATAAGCAGACACTTCAAGGGTTTTTTTTACTTCTGAAAGCTCAGCTCAGATTCCTTTAACATATTTCAGCGATGCTATTCCAGATTAATGTATTGACTGACTGGACATTGTACTTATGAGCAGTCTTTGATTTTACATTGTGTTACACTGAATTACAAAAGGGTTAATAAACTATTATTGCACAATATGTTAGAACCTGCTTAGAGCAGACACCCTGTATTAAGTGGATGCTAGTGAGGGTCCCAAGGGTGTCCGCTTAATACAGGTTTCACTGTAGATGGTTTATATTGTTCCTAAGTAAACATGAATATTGGAATCATTACTTGTTCTTTACAGTTAAAATGTATATTTTTTTTCTCTATTTTAGACTTTGCAGATGGGAAATCAAACAATGCAAATGAAAATAGAAGAGCTGACATCACAGATGAGTGCTGCAGCTTTGGATGAAACTCGTGTTCAGGAACTCACTGAACTTCAGCAGGAACTGGCTAGCAAAATTGAGGAGATGAACTTGCTCAATGTACGACTGGCTGCAAGCTTGCAAACAAGGCCCCCTGCACCAGAGAGTTAAAACAATGTATGAGTAGAAACAGCTTTATATCCTCAATTATCAGCTGCAGAAAGACAGAAATTAATTTATTTATAGGAAACAGATTAAATGGTTCGTGTATAATCATGTTTGACAGTGATTTGCTATAGTAGCATTTCGAACACAGGTTATGGTAGGAATTTTTGTGTGCTAAAATAGGGGAACAGCAAAGGTTAAATTAGGAAGGGCAGTCGTTAATTTGGGGGAAGTGTTTATTTTCATAGGTTTATGTTGTGCTACATGTACTTACTGGAAGCAATGGTTTTCATTGCTATTGTGTATCATCATCATCATCTTTATTGTGGGTGTCATTGTCATCATCATCATCAATATTGCTTTTTGTGTTATTAGGCACGGGAGAATGTATATAATTTGTCAGATTAGTTCTTTTAATACCATGCGGTTTCAAACAGTAGGTAACCATGCTTATTATACAGACCACATGGAAAAGTCCTGATAATTGAAACTCCATAAAATTTAGGCTCAGTTGATAAGGCTTGACTGTAAATGGAACTAGAATACTTGTACACTGCACTAGTTTAGTTGGTGATGACTCAATTTGCAACATGCATGTTACCTTTAAATGTCAGAGTGCAACAAAAATAAAGAAATTTAGAACCAGGTGTAACTATAATAATGATCAACACCAGCTTTTCTTGACCATAAATAAATTATATGAAGTATGATTTTCTCAGACATATTTCCAAACCCATAACGTCATTTCTACTTTCCTTGTAAATGTCTATAACTTGTCTAGTGGCTTGCCTTCGACAGGGATGTGTTACTAGATCCCTAAACATTTGGTAAATTTTGATTCAATTCAGTTTGCTAGTTTTGCTCCTGGATTATAAAATTTCTCTAAAAATCAGGAATATTTTGTTAAAATGAGTGATGTTGTAAGTGTCAAGCCAGTTGCCACATGTTAAATTAACATGAAGGTTTTAAACATCTTTGTACTGGTCTCTTACCACCATGATTTAAATCATTGTGCAGTATTGTCAATTCTATAATAGTTGTGAAGAGGACCAAAAGGCAAGGCAAAGCTCTTTTTGTTTTTGTATGTAATTAAATCTTTGTTTAGTGCTAGAGGGATTGCTTTCTTGAAATAAAATTTTAGAATGTACAAGGTACATTAATTTAATTAATACTGTAGGTAACAATTTATAATATATTATTGAGTAATGGTAGCCTAGGTGTAGGGAGGGAATGTCGCTTCCTCCTTCCTGTTTTTCTTCAGGTGTGTACGGCTACATGTAGGCTAGAGTCATTTTACAGAGTGTGATTTTCATTAGGTCAAATTTTATTAAAATAAAAATAAACAGGAAAACATGACTGTTTAAAAAAAATCTGAATAATGTATATACATTCTATAGAAGTTTGTTTTAATATAATGCTTTTGATTTGATTTATATGACTGTAATTGTCAGATTGCCTGAGTGCCAGCTTATTTTGTATGTGGGTAAAGTTGGAATGCTTTCAGCTCAGGCCCTCCAGGTTAAAGGAAAAAAAAGTGAAATGTAAATTTAGTGTACATGTGTGGAATTAGACATAGAAGGATTATTAATACAGGATGGTGTGGCAAGGGGTGGTGAAGAGCAGTTACTTATCAAGAAAATCCACTACTAACATTGAAGTTAAGTAATTAAAAGCATTTAAAAGTTTGTCCAAAGTCTGGTTGTGTGGTTTTATTTTTTGTAGTTTCCAGGCCCTTGAGGAACACAGGGCAATATCACTACATTCCAGATAAGTGAAAACATGACAAAACTCTGGTGTGGAACAGAAAGATGTGTTGAATCTTATGCCTTTTTTAAAAAAATCTGAAATTTCGGAGGCTCTTTTAATCTCTTGATGAGAGCCATGCATACTAGTTGTGTATGTGGGCCTCAGAGTTCAGGTAAATGGATGGGGATTGGGGGGGAAGACTCATCTTGCTCAGAGGGTGTTCCTCCAGTTTTTCACAGAAACTTCAATTTAATCAGGTATCTGAAGGTTAAGGTTTGGGTTACGGTTTGGGGAGTGGTTTCTCAGACAAGCTACAACACTGTTAACTGATTATCACAAGCAGGGTTACTCTCCTGCAATAGGCCCTTCGCAGCTGGGGTCATGTGACCAAAATTTTCCTAAAAATATTATTTATTATGGGCTATAATTTAAAGAATGCCAGAAATGGAAAGAGCATATCAAAAATACCAAAATGGCCAAGTTCAAGGCCCCTGGCATTAAAGAGTAAGTTTATACGTCAGTTTGAAATTTCGGAAAATTTAAAGGATATCTATGGAAAATGTTGCTGGAGAGGAAGGTCTTGCTCTCCAACAACTTTTTCCATACAAATCTTCTTAGTCCTTTTAAAAAAATCAAACTGACATAAAATCTCATTCTTTAATGCCATTTTGGCCATTTAGATGTTTTCGACATGCTTTTTCCATTTCTGGCATTCTTAAAGTTGCAGCCCACAATTTAATAAAAAGTAGGTCAAGTGATGGCTTAGCTGCAAAGGGCTTATTAATCTGCCAGAAGCCATTTCTACAATTATTATTGTCCAGCTCAAGAACACAACATAATGACCCTGGCAAGGGCTAAAATTTGTCCTGGCTGGGGACTCCCTTTCAACAATGTTAGAGATACTCAATTGAAAGTTTGAACAGGTCCACGAAATGATAGGGTACCAGAATCTTGCCTTGTGGACATAGCTTAGTCATTTTCAATCTTAGTAAATTATCTAACAAAACAAGTTAACCCACACTGAAAAATTTTTAGCCATATACACTTAAGTGACCCCAACTCTTACAGCAGTAATTTTCTCAAGCACCATAACGATTCATGACTGGTGACAAATGGTTTGTTTATTTAAATCTCATACTAATTCTTCAATCAATACAAGTCTTAAATAGGCGTGGAATCACTTTTCCATTTTATATATTCTTGATTGATGAAGTTCTAACAATAATTACCTGCAATAATTCTAGTGATTAAAATCACAAATAAATAGTTTTGTAATGACTATAAAACATCATTTTCTTGTTTATATACACTATATTACAACTGAAATTTTTCTAAAAATTGCACCCTCCGTGTCAAAAGTGATCAATAAATAACACCTGT